GCATTGTCACCGCTTTTTGTGTTTCTTAAGGCTGAAGGTGGAAGATTACCTACTTAGAGTATAGGCGTGGGGCGTGGGTGTGCTAATTACAAATTCAGATGTCTCAGCCATGTCTTAGATTTAGCTGACTCAGAATCTCAGCGTAGGTGTCTAATTTTTAACAAGCTCCTCATACGATTCCTGCTGCACACTGAAGTTTGAGAGTCATTGCTCTGGGCACCAGGTTTTGCTGAAAGTCCCAAGCACACCTTATTCTCATTCTCTCCTCTACGGCTTGACAAGTATGAAGCCACCCTCTCCCAAAGCAGCAAATAGCACCTAAGCCAGGCTCCTGGTGTCACAACAAGTGTGGTGTCTTCTGACAATATGAAAGTCTTTCATTTAGTTGTCAGGAGCCAATATGTGGGTGGGCTGTGGGTGTGCAAGTTATACGATAGAATGAAAAACAGATTAGTAGCAGCTCCTTTCATAATGAACCTTAGAACCCATCGCTAACTCTCTTTGATGTCTTGCATGTATATCTCTAAGTGGTGTCTACCTCTGTAGTTTATGAAATATATGAGAGCCACTGAAAAAGATGTAGGAAGTCATAATATATCCATGGCAGGATTCCACCACCCACTGAAAGTTAGGTTCTAAAAGTTAAGTCAGAGTTGACAGAAAAGGAAGAAGCCCAAGCCCAGCAAGCACCATATGCAGAAAATTATGGAAAATCTAAGAAGTTTTGATCAAAGCATTGAAAATTGACACTTGTAACTGCAGACAAAAATATCGGGTATTCCGTAATAAAGCCAAAAGGAAGCTAATATTTGAGTTGTTAGGTATGAACTATATTTTGAAACGAATACCCTCATCCACTACCTAGGAATGAGATTGGGTGAATGTTTAAAACAGTCACCTAACAGATCCTAGCCCTGTGTACACACCTGTAGGGCAAGAGACTGCAGGTCATTGCCAAACCAGAGTTAGTTTGAATTTAGAAGCTCTGTCTCTCCCAGAAAGCCTTTGCTCATTTTAGGCTGACTTATCTGTGGATTTTCCTGGGGAACAAATTTTATCCTTGAATAGAACATTACATGGCGTTTTAGACCAGCTCTCTGATTTTACAGATCCATAACGTTTAAATATTAATAACTTAGCCAGGTTCAGAGACAAAGCCAAGATGTATACTTGTATTTCAGTGCTCTGGTTTGGATTTAGTGCTTTTTCTGAATGCCAATGTCTCAGCAACATCTTCCTGGTTCCTGTTAGTTAACTTTTAATGCTTCTTAGTGCCCTCAGGCCACTGTGAGGCTTGTCTAGAACTAAAAGTAGTTTAAGAAGTGTCCTTCCATTTACCTGGGCTTCATCTCTCTTGTAAGATTGACTTACTCTGATGCTGCTTTCTGGAGACGAAGTTTAAATCATGTGTCAAATAATCTTTTTCCTTTCCTTGGAGGTCAGTATGTCATCAGCATCAGAGATGAGTCTTCAGCTCTTCTGTATACTTTGACAGAAAGATCTCAAGTATGCGAAGTTAAGCATACATCTAGGTTTGCTGAGGGTAGTCTTGATTTATGCCTATTGTACTGATTGATATATTCATGGTTTCTTATTTCATAGTCACAAGTTCCCCAGTGAACAAAATATGTGGTCACTCTCTTTATAATAAAAAGTAAAGCTGCTTCTTTCCATCAAGAGACACTCAGTGCCTGTGCCATTCAGATTTAGTGTTCCCTAGGATGGGTCTTAACCCTGTATAAGTGGAGACTAGAAAAAGAACTCCACTTGTGAATGGCTATTCTGCTTTATTTCCTCTCCAAAGCTGAATTGTTTTCTTCCTTCAATCATAGTGTACCTCTTAAAAAAAATTATAGACTGTGTTGTACAGTCAGAGGTTAAGATTACAAAAGAACAACTGATGGTTAACTAATGTGCAGTGGTAACCAGGCAGATTCACTGCCTTGTGCACAACCAGGTGTCATATTGCATC